GCTCACATCGATCCACCGCAGATCAACATCCAAGGGTATTGCGACAGCGATTGGGCCTCGGATACTGAAGACCGAAAGAGTACTGGTGGATTTGTTTTTACGCTGGGAGGAGGTGCAATTGCTTGGTCAAGCAAGAAACAACCTATCGTAGCACTTTCCACAGCTGAAGCCGAATATGTTGCCGCCTGTGAAGCAACTATGGAAGCAGTCAGCAAGCGAAATGTGATCATTGAGGTCTTACCGACAATAAACATGGAGGTCAGAATTGAGATCGATAGTCAAAGTGCTTACGTATTGGCCGTGAACCCAACCTACTCAAAGCGCACAAGACACATCGAATTGCGGTGGCAATTCGTCCGAGAGCAAGTCAAGCTGTTATCGGTATTGTTTGAAAAGGTGCCCGGTGAGTCGAATCCAGCAGATGCATTTACAAAGGCACTCGACCAACGCCGACTTGCGCGTCTTTCCTACTCGATCTGTGTGCGAGGCTAGCCTCGAGGGGGCGTGTTGTGAAAAGTATACCAGTGTGGTAACAAGACTTTCCCGACGGTTGAGTTGAAGGGTGAGTACCCTTCGCGTACTACAGAAGGATTCGATGGATGACTTCGGCAGAGATTGAAGTCCTAGTATGGGAAGAAGGTGTTGATGTAAACACACAGTAAAGTCCCTGTATGGGAAGGAGGTGTTGATGTAAACAGACTGTGAAGTCCCAGAGGGAGGTTGCTGCAGTTAGTACTCTGGGAGACGACACCATATACATGTAGTAGGAAGGTAGTAGTTTCATATAAAGATAATGAACGTTCAGTTCCAAAAACTACGTTAAGGGCGGAAGCGGGTTCTCAACACAACAATCACTCTCTTTTCCACTGTGTTGAAGCCACAGCATGAACAGCGAGGACGCGGCAATGCGCGCAGTCAAGCGCAAGCTCGCCACCTCGGGCGGCCGCAAGCTGCTACGCTGGAACGCCGCGCGCTGGCAGCTGTTCGAGCGCACGCTGCCGTACACGGCGCTCCTCAAGAGAGCGCTACTTGTACACCTGCGCGCATTTCTCGCGTCTATGTACGTGAGCTGCTGTCCAGTCTGCGGCGTGTCCCGTTCTTACGCTCTCGTGTGTGTCTCTTTTTCTGTGCTGTTGTTTATTAGCTAAGAGATCCATTTTTCCAATCGAAAGAGTCACGCGCCGTCGGTGGTCATGGAGAAACCGATTGTCGGCACGCGCTCGGGGTCTGTAGTGAACCTGGGGCTCGTTATTGAATCTACAGGCAGCGACACGTGTCTGCACGATGTCAAGTGCGCTGCGGTTGCGGTTGTGCTGTGGGGGTGATGGTGGGAGAATGGGAGATATTGAATAGACAATTGTATGGGCTGGTAGGGAGTAGGACGGATTAGATGTGTAGAATGCCAATCTGAAGGTTTGCAGGAGTGAAGGTAGAAGCTCTTTTAAATGGTTTGGCATGGTAGACTGTGGGAGTCGCGTGTGAATGGTGTTACTGGGTGATTGTATGTAGATGAGGAAATGGGTCCGGAGGTACACGACAACAGGTTGGCCCAAGCATTTTGCAAGACGCTATTCGGCCACTTGAAGGGCGATGGAAAGGACATGGATATGGCAGTTTTTTTGGGGCGGATGGCTATAACTTTGTGGGGTTTCTCGTTGTGCGGTGCGTGATGACAGTGTTGGCATTGAATGAAGATACTCATGAGGTAAATTTGTGGTGCTGTTAGCTTTTTGGTAGAACATTGCGGCCTGAATCTCGACGCTGCGGTTGGAGAGTTTGCAGTCTCGACTTCGCCCAGTATCCACATGAGGCATTACCTGACGGTGCGTGGGTGTTTGAGCTATGTGGGAGGGCCGGCTGTTATGATACTAAATTGTGCTGTTTTTGTCTTTTCTATCGGAACATACTCCGGAAGCGCGAGAGCGAATTAATCATTGTCATTGAGGTTGTAACGGACCACGGTGTCATTTAGACCCCTTTGGATGCTCCGTATGATCTCGGCGGCTTCGAGTGTGAGAGCCAATTTTTTAGTTAGTTGCTAGCGAAGGCAGCGGCATCCCTGGTGATGATGGAAGCATTTCAGAGCAGCGACTGGTTCAGTACATTAAATATATCTCGAGTTGACGGAGTTCGGCGCTGCGCCACGTCATTTTTCATCCACGAAATGGGAACAGAGCTAAGCACTTTAGAGAGGACCTTTTTACGAAAGGCGCGTATTCAGGTGTCAGGCCGTGTATTGCATACGAGCCAGCATAACGTGTGGTGCATTTGGATTGGTATGCCCTCATAACTTTGCGCACACCCCCTGCACGTAGCGCGACGATATTTAAGACCTCACGTTACACACCTAAAAGTGATTGCAACCTGACGGGAAAAGCATGTTCGTGCGCCGAATGTGAAATACACATAGTAAATATACCCAATGCAAATGTATTATATACTCTGCTAGCTGTTTGCTATCTCAAGAGAGGACAATCGCGCCTGTCATGTCCTTCCTCTCGACAATCTGGATTTCCACATCTTCGCGTAGCTCGCGCTCTATCTTCCACTAACTTAAAAGTAGAAGGATTACGCCTTGTACTACTCTCCGCCACCGCACCCACAGGTCTGCCTCTAGTCCGCACTACCACAGGATTGTGCACTGGTGTGAGCGGCCGTTGGGAGAGCTCTACAATTTGTTCCTCCAAAAGACGTTGCTGGTGTGGGAGGAGAGTTTTGTGTTGAGATTGCAGCTGTGTCAATGCATCTGCAAAATCTGTCATCGCATCTGCAGAGGTATCACTGTCATTGCACTCAGGCTCTTGAGCTTTTACAAGCCACCAGTGCCTATGGAAATGGTACTCCCCCAACGAAAAATTGTTGCCAATTAAACGGTTGAGTTTGTGGGAGCAAGGAAGACCCATCGTACTTCGAAAGATGCTGGAGCAGGTGGAGTCGCCAGCCAGGTGTTTAGCTTTCTGGAACTGTTCATACACCTTGTTCAAAGAATAGTGTGATATCTTCCGCTTGACATCCTTCCAAATGTTGTAAAAAAGGCAAGCATGGAATGCGTCTTGTTGTAGAAAATCTGTTGACGGATGTGATGTTCTTGATAGTCGATCGAGAGGGAGATCTTCTCGTATACAACTTTGAGATCTCCTGAAGAGACACTGATCCATCTTTTTATCGAAGAATGTTTGCCTACACCGCAAGATGTAGCCAAGTGACCAAGATGCAGGACCAGCTTGGTGAATGCGGTGACAAACTTTTCCTTGTGCACGATCCATGTGCTCCTCAGTCATTCCACGGTCTGTCCGTACTCGTAGTAGGATATTTGCATATCTTTCCAATTAGCGATACACGTCTCCACATCCATCGAAGCAACCAGAAGGTGCCAGTCTGCCAGAAACCGTTCCCACCCTTCATTGCTTCAGAAACGTTTCTTCAGGTTGGCGACAATGTTTTTTTCGATGTGCCATATGCAGAGAAGAATAAAAGCATCATCGGGAATGATTTGAATTGCTGACATTAAGGCCAGCTCTCGATCAGTAACCACCACCCCAGGCAGGCGGTTCAAGAGAAACACCCCTTTCACGCGTATCAAAGCCCCAAAATAGTCCTCTTCTGGTTCTCCGCTCATAACGCAAAAGCATGTGGAGAATGTAGCATTGCTGCTGGTCATGCCGACAACGTGGAGGAGTGAGAGCTTGAACCTACAAGACAAATGTTGTGTTAGATACTTGTATATTGCAGACTGCAAGGTGTGAAGCTCATTACCTGTTGGTCTTGTACGTAGAGTCCATTAGTACAACGTCGGGATACTCTCTGGCTCGAACAACAGCACTTGGCGGAGCGAAGAAGAGGTGTGTGATTCGACCCTCATCGTCTCTTGCGTAGTGGTGGATGGCCTCTTTTCTTTTTTCCTGCAGCTCGTCTAGCAGGGCTTCCAGAGGTGTACGGTCGTTTAAATCTTCTTGTCGAAGCCGAGCTTAAGCATTGGAGATGTCTCTACTGGTGAGGTTTATTTGTGGATCTCGTTGCCGTAATTCGCAAGAATAACTTTGGGGGCTGCACCGGCCTTGAACATCTGTTGTATGACCTGTCGCGCTTGATCTGTGACTTTACGTGCGCTGGGAAAGCCTGACATATCGGCTGTTGCCTCATGGTTGTGAGAACCCTCCCCTACCTTGACCCGCCACATCCATCCCTCTGCGGTCAATTCTCTTTTGATAGTGACGCTCCAGGGGCATTCAATGCATCTGCTGCTGGTCTATCTCTTCCGATTTCCTTCAGTGAGGTATTCGCGACGGTTCCTGAACTCCAGGCCGTGCGAGCAATGGAGCCAGACCTTGCGTGTTCCACCGCTTTTGGAGGGTTTTGAGCGAGTCCGTCCCCCCACAGCGTAGCCTTGGTCAAGTACAAACCGCTCTACTGCCAACTGAGCATCATCAAGAGAAGGATAAGTATGCTCGGGAGGTGGTGCTAGCATAGCCGGAAGAGCAAGGAACAGAGAGATAAAAGGATTGAATGGAGGATAGCTCGCATTTAGTGGGAGAAAAAAAATTCGACACGGGGGGGTGCGCGTAGTTATTAGGGGGTGTACGCCTAGGCGGTCCTTCAAATAATTGCGCGCGTCCAGGATTGATGGTTAGTTTTCTTGGCTGATATTGCGGCCTAAAAAGAGCCAATGAGCAGTGTGCTGTCAACTTCTGCCGAATACTAGCGCTGATGGTAATCACGTCTAACGTCACCCGCAATTGGTAATATTGTGGTGAAAATCACCTGCAAAGATGATGTTTTACTCATATTGTTAACATCGTCAATTTTCTCAACTTAAATGACCCCGGCGTATCAACAGCCAATTGTTTTCGGAGAGCCGCTGTCCTGCGCGAGAGCCGTTTGTACCACAATCTGAGTACACACGCTAGACAATCATATTCTTTTCGCAGCGACTCTCGAAGTCGATCATCAGTCAACAAACGCGTGGATCCCCCTCTTCTCCTGCCCGTGTCCAAAGCGCGATGAGTCGCTTGAGCTTAAACCTCGCCGTCAGTGTCGGCACCGCTGCAGCTCTATGCATCGTTCGCATGCGTCGTGCGACTTACTCGAAGCTAGCGCAACGTGTGCACCCACCCGTCTTGGAGAAGAGGCCCAAGATGGTGCCATTCGGCGCTGTCGTCGGCGAAAACCGAGGCCCAAACCCCATGAAGCCTGTCCTGTACATGGAGGACCCGTACTTTTACGTTCGGGACGACTCGCGCAAAAACAAAGAAGTGCTGGAGCATCTGCGCAAAGAAAACGAGTACACGGACATCAAGACGAAGCATCTTGCTAACGTGCGCGCCAACATTTACGAAGAATTGCTGTCGCACGTGCAAGAGACGGATGAGGACTACCCATATCCGCACGGCCCGTATTTGTACTACAAGCGGACGATGAAGGGCAACAGCTACGTATATCACTGTCGTAAATCTAAAGTGGAAGGCGCTGCTGAGGAGCTGCTGCTGGATGAAAATGAGATCGCCAAGGGCCACAGCCACTGCCAGGTAGTCCGCGTCTCCATAAGTCCTGATCATCGTTACCTGGCCTATATGGTGGACTTCAGTGGCTACGAAACGTACACAGGTTACGTGAAAGATCTCCAGACTGGGGAGTTGCTTGCTGATCGCATCAAAGATATCTCTTGTCTATGCTGGGGAAAAGACGCGTCTGTGCTATACTATGCCACGCAGGACAAAGCGCACCGTCAGGACAAGCTTTGGCGTCACGAGATGGGTAGTACAGGCGCTGACGAGCTGCTTTACTCGGAAGATGATGAGATCTATAGCGCCAGCTTCCAGAAATCCCGCAGCGGAAAATACATGTTTTTGGTTTCCTCAAGCTGTGAAACGAGCGAGGTGTCCTTCATCGACTTGGACAAAGCATCGGAACCACCGCGATTGATTGCCAAGCGAAAACAGGGATTGCTCTATGGAGTTGATCATTTTGCCGACAGCTTCTACATCGTGACGAACAGGGACAACGCCACAAACTTCAAGTTGATGAGAGCACCCGTATCGTTGCCGTCGCCTGAACATTGGGTCGAGGTGTTTCCGTACGACACAAGCATCAAGATAGACGATATTGACTGTTTCAAGGACTTTATGGTCATGGAGGGTCGTCAGGGCGGCTACTCGCAGCTCTGGATTGTTACCCCTGAGGGAAGCAATAAGCATTCTCGACACCGGATCACGTTCAAAGAGTCGAGTTATACTGTCTTTGGCTCCGTCAATCGGGACTACGATACCGACAAGTATCGATTCGTGTACACGTCGATGACAACTCCTGCAACGACTTTCGATTACGATGTCAATGCCGGTAAACTGCGACTGCTGAAAGAGAAGCCCGTGCCAAACTATGACCGTTCGCTGTACAAAGTTGAGCGCTTGGAAGCAAAAGCAGACGACGGGACAATGGTGCCTATGTCACTTGTATACCGTTCTGATATGCGCGCGCAGGACCGCCAGCCGCTGCATTTGTACGGGTACGGTTCGTATGAGATATCGATTGACCCTAGTTTTGTCTCCTCCATCTTGCCGCTGCTCGACCGAGGTGTGATATACGCGATTGCGCACATCCGTGGTGGTGGTGAGATGGGCCGGACGTGGTACGAAGATGCAAAGTACAAGAAGAAGGTCAACACTTTTGCTGACTTTATCCGTTGCGCTGAGCATTTGATCAATACTGGGTACACGAGTCCCAGCAAGATGACTTGTGAAGGTCGAAGCGCTGGCGGGCTGCTGATGGGCGCAGTGTTGAACATGCGTCCAGACCTTTTTACGGCTGCGATCGCCGGGGTGCCTTTTGTGGACGTAATGAACACTATGAGCGACGCTTCGATTCCGCTGACCACTGGAGAATGGGAGGAATGGGGAAACCCGAACGAGAAGGCGTACTTTGAGTACATGCTCAGTTACTCTCCGTACGAGAATGTGAAGCAGCAAGCATATCCAAACATTTTGGTGACGAGCGGGTTGTATGATCCACGTGTGGCATACTGGGAGCCCACGAAATGGGTCGCCAAGCTGCGCGACACGAAGAGCGACCAAAACGACGTGTTGCTGAAAATGGATTTGTCATCGGGCCACTTCAGCGCCAGCGATCGGTACCATTACCTGAAGGAGAAGGCGTTTGATCTGGCATATTTGCTGGACCAGCTCAAGGCGATCAAAGGAGAAGACAAGAAAGCGCCGAAAGCAGCTTTAACGCTATAAGAAACGAGAGCTACAGGCGCGCAACTGCGTTGAAAGTCATTTGACCATTGAGATGCCAGTCATGTGATTCCATAATACGAATGGGTTTGCTTCTTACTTCTTGCGCTTTCGACTATCCCCTTCGTTTAAACTATCTCCGCATTCTGTTGCAACTGCGGCTCTTGCTTTTGCATTTAACTCCACTTCGTATCGAAAAGCCACCCTCTCCTTGCGCTGCGCACAAAGTATTGTCTTGGAGCAGCCGTAAGCCGCTAGTGTTAAATTGAATCGTGCCAAGTACAATTCCTGCATTGCCAAGTCTTCCGTGAGCGGTGAGCATAGCTCGCTCTTCAAGACCGTGAGCACCTGTCCAGTCGATGCACAAATTTGAATCGAATTTGACAGAGAATACTGCAACACAATTCCGCGCTTGTGTCCCATTGGCTTCGAATCTATCCGGTACGTTTTCACGATGTTTCCGACCGCGAATTTGAGCGTGTCGACAAGATTTCGAAACTGCACGTATATTTGGCCCTGCACTTCGGCAGCAAAAGGTGACCACAGTTGTCGTGGCCGCAACGTGCTTTCTTCACGTTTCTTCCGCAAAACGATGGAATCATCCGAACAACTGACATGCGAAGCTGCCTCAACACATTTTGGGATGATAGCTTGATAGTCGGAACCCACGTTGGGCTTGAGGCGGCCCAATCCGTTTCGAATAGCCCCATTCTCAACAGCTTCCAGCGCCTTTTTGATGTTGTTTCGGTTCGGATAGTACTTGTAGCGGCACACAAAGTATGTTTTGCCTCTTTCACGAAACCCACGCTTGATCTCATCTTGGATATCGGCGTACTCCTCGGGAGACACGACCTGGCACACCTCCATCACAGCGTCGATAGAATTGCTGTCCTTATGCGGCGATAGAAACACCTCGTTTTCCAGGACACCACCTTTGATCAAAGCTTTGACTTCCTCCTTCACATCGTAGGGTTTATAGTACCACTGGGCCATAAAGCTGGAAACGCAGCGGCTGCGTCGCTGTGAGAACTGGACTGAGCTCACTAGTGCGACATACGAATCGTCCGGATTCCCTGAATCCAGCATCACACAGTCTCCAACCTGAACATTGATGTGATCCCCGGGTGCGTCGCTGTCATCCGAATCTATTTCCGCTTTCGTTGACGCTTCACTCTTACCGTCCTTGCTGTTCTCAGACTTTGATGCAGTAGCAGGATTCACTTGTGCTTTGCTGGTACTACGGGTCCTGATGCTGTCGCTCTCCGAGTCTGATGTGACTGCTAGCTGTGTGCCACACGCCCTCGTCGATGCTTCGCTCAACCTGTTTCTGTCTCGACTGTTTAGTACAAACAAATTGCCGCCAGCTGAGCTCGACTGCCGATCGACGATGGGCTGCTGAGACTCGACGAGGCTCGCCACGTGCTCACTCCTTCCGATCGGAGCACTCGCCATCATCGACACACAACTTGTGCCAAGCTATGAACAATAGCGCCAATGTGTGATGAGGCCCGAATGGAGCCCACACGGACTACTCCCGAGGCAAACGCGGCCCACGCTCTCGATGACAGCCTGGCTGTCGCCTTTTGCTTTGTATGGTGTCTACTTGTTACATGAAAAACGCGACGGCTAATTTTAGCCAATCACGCTATTCTATTGTTTTGCTTTTACTCTTGGCTCTGGCGGGTTTTACCTTTCCTCACAACGAAAGCGAACCAATCGTCGACGTCCCCCTCCTTCGGTGCACCTTACTGAAGTCAATACTAAGAATTCCAAATTTAAGCGGTAATAATTGTGATTTGTTGTCGAAAGCCCACATTCCAGAACATTCTGCCGGTTCCCACATTCAGTTGCTGCAGATAATGAAGCAGTAGCCGTCTTAAAAGGGGCTCAGCATCCACACGCATAGCTAGGTATACTTGCCAAACACGGATGCGTACGGCTTTGCTTGACGCTAATGCGAAGACTTTCGCTCTTTCAACTGCTCCCTGTGGCCGCCGTTCGCTTGTTGCCGCGAACAGTGCTTCGTATAACAACAAAGTCTACCGATTTGCGATAGCTCTGGATATCATCTTCATCTGATACGGCTGTCATGGCACGAGGCTGTAGCGCTCGCTCTACGATCCAGTCGCTTTTTACAAAATTGGTGGACGGAACAGCCGTGAGACACTCCGTATGACGTCAACCTGGAAGAAACGGGATGATAAGACCTTCTGGCTCTGTCACGATCGAGCTTTTATTATGTATTGATAGCGTCTGCATAGGTTGACATATCGTACGTAAGCATTCAACTTTCACGCGTTTTCTAACATCAGGCAATCCAAGGCACTAATTTCACCTCAAGACGCGTTATTCGATAATTTCCAGGAATATCTTCTCACATGAGTATCAGGCAGCACTACCCACTCATTTAGATTCTGACGCTTCTCTTTGTTGAAAGTGCAAGTGGCCCTTGAATCGACTCCAGAGATTCAACCTACGCTAGGGCATATATGGAATGTTCTAAAGGGTTTAATGTGTCGTATTAGGCACCACAAAGATATAGGTTGGTTAGAACTCACTTGTGTTTTGACAGAACACTGGCGATTTCTCTGGCGGGGGCCGAAACGCGTCTAGCGCGCGTTTTAATACAAGTCCTTTCCCTTTCTAAATGCTCACTTTCCAACATTCTTAGCTGTCCACAACTGATACGAACAAATAATCGGAGATCAGCATCGCTGAGAAGGAATGGAAAGACATATCTGGGGCTGAAGTCTTTTCGGCATTGTGAGCCAACGAAGTGCGCTAGCGTTCGATTGTACCAAGAAATGTTGTTTGGAAGGAAAGGTTCGCTTGACAAATTTTTCATTAAAAGGATAAAAATGCATGGTGAATGACGTCCTTATCGAAAGCGTGTTGAAGCACTTTGGTGATCCAATTGACATAGCCGATGACCTTCATGCCGCAAAGGAAGCTTTCTGATCTCCCCAGCGCCACCCATAGAATCTAAACTGTTAAGGTGAAAACCTTCCATGAAACAAGGCGAGCCCGTTACATGTCATTGACACCAAAGATGGACCCATGAAAACATTATCTTGATTGAGAATTTTCTCATATCTGATTACGTGTATTACGCAAGTACCGAAAGAAGCAGTACCATCATAAGTAGAACTCGGCACATATCCACTTATAAATTGATGTAGGCTTTTAATATCATCCAGCTGAACCGGATATAGCTGTTAGAAGCGCGCAATGGGTGGTGAGCAAGTGCCTATATTACGTTTATAGAAGGTGCTATTGTTAGAGTTATGCCGGAGAAGTTATACGAAGAAGGATCCAACTATAGATTATATTCGATCCTACTCGTTATCTTTATTAAGCTCCTTTGCCTAGCAGATTGATCTTCCTCTAAACGAACGTGTACGTGACGATTCGGCGCACTTGCCTACTCTATGGTTGGTGTATGAACCCTGGACTATGTCAGTACAAGCATATGTGCTCCTTCACACCTGGTATCCATTTGTCGTCCGTCTATCGAACACGGAAATTACATCCAACATGTTGATGTTAGGTAAAGAAGATAGTCGACTTCACGCCAAACGTAAATGTACCTCCCTAAAATTGACATGGAATGTCGGTAGGTCTACCGATTGTCGAACTTGCCGTCGAACTGACGGGTGCGACGATCAATAAGCCGAACGTCAGTGCTATACGACTTGCTTCATTGGTAGATTTGCAACAAAGCACCAGTACCTACCCATGAGACGTGCTGCGCCGTACAAAACGGGGCCGGAAAAACTCAAGACAAGTCAATTGAGAGAGTGTCGGGTGTGGCGACGATTCGAGTGGCGGCTCCCCACGCACTTGACAAGTCACGGTGTCAAGATGCCTTGCTTCTTCGTCAGGATCGCAATAATGACAATAGTTATGAATACAGGGTTATCGACTGACCGAGCTGTTTCTACAACAGCAGACTCAGGATATCTAATCGGGCCGATGCGCGTGCGTCGAACCTAAAAATAGAAGATGGATCTTCAAATACATGGGGGTCGAGGAAGGCCTCTATTTTTATAAATAGCCAAGTTTACGACGCCATAAGGAACGTCGCGTCATCGATGAGAAAGTGCGAGATGCATTTGTCTAGTTATAATCGTCAGAACAAGCCATAATTTGGACCAATTAGAGAAGGTGCTCGATTCGTATGCGTTTGGACGTTAGAAGCATTCGATATTCGTCTCAGACAAGCGTATGAGTTGCAGGCTAAATCCGAGATCCTAAAATAAATTTACGGTAAGCGTAGTGTGCACGCTTAAACTCAGAACCAGAACGTACGGTACTTTTCAAATTGTACTACGGTCAAATTGTCACATATATCTGCCTTTCTACTCATGCATGCACATCATTGCCAATGGTACCATTAAGGCTACTCGGAACTTCATAGAGCTACAAACACTAGCAAGTTGAAACCTGTGGCGGAGCAATAAGGCGGAATCCTTAGAAATCCTCGCATCGACTCGGGCTTCAATCGTCCCCCGATGCGACAGCAGGTCTGATGATTCAAATCACAAAATTTTTATTACATAAGAGCATGGAAGATATCGCTTTGCTATACATCCGATTTCAAAAGGCAGGGCAACACACGTCCGTGACTGTGTAGAGCCAAATCTAGTGCCACGTACGACAAACGGGCGACCATCAGCCATCCAAGCAGTTACGAAGAAGCAACTCCGACGCTGTTGCAAAGTCGCAACGACAATTTGGACCGTCAAAAACGGCAGGGTTCCGTAGTGGCGAAGCACAAGCTGAATCAGCAAGTTCAAAAGAACCTATAGACATTTTGAAGAAAGTTGTTCACATATAATAGTCTCTTCGTGTCACAGCCATTGGTGGTGACGTGATTCGTATCACATGGAAGATTGGTGTGTTGAGGTGATAAACTGATTGCAACTTCTCGATTTAGTCAATTAAAGGTCGTATGGTATTTAATTTTGCGCCAAACGCTCAAAGTTATTGGACTTAAGTTTGGTGAGAGCGAAATCTCTCCCACAAAAAAATGATTACGCGCCATGCTACTGGCACAATTGTCATAGTAAATTTAACATTCAGTGGGAACACCGCACGTTAAAAACCAATTTTGACGATTATTTCACAGTCTTGGATACGGATGAAAAACTCTTCCACTTCGTGTAGAGGTGTGATCGATATGAAAAAGGATTATATAGCATCGACATCTGCGATCCGTGATTCGTGAGCAATGATGAGATCGCGATACATCGAATTAGAGCGTAATATAACATGCCGTCCGCGTTCCGCGATCGTTAATTTAGATTGAGAGCGAGATCCGCAAACCTTGATCAAGGACGAGATCGCGATGCTCGTATTGGTAAGTATCACATCAAGCAATCCGCTATTGGGGGCACATGAAGTAGGACACGTCGTGCAAACAGAATGCCGACCGGGTAGACGACACGCGACATAGGTCCGAAGTAAGGGTAGTCATAGTGGCAAATTAAGTTTGATTTGTTATGAATTCAATAGAGTTCATCTTTCTTTTAAGCTCACGTGCCGACTTGCGTTCGGGGTTAAATTACTGGCCACTCGACTTCACTAAAGTCAAATAATTTAAGTGGCTTTTTTGAGCTCTTTGGTCAGGAATTAAGGATGCTTAAGACAATACCCCAACTGCGACCAGATGTATCGGTAGCGAAAGGACAAGGTGCAAGATCGCTAGACGGATCAAGTGGTGTGAAGGTCAAACGGACCAATTATCCACATATTGGACAAATCCATTTCAAAGAGATAGGGTGACAATACCAAGCACCCTGCAAGCATCCCATTGACTTCGTGACGATTTACATACAATCGTTCCGAACCCATCACAAACACGTTCAAGTTTCCCTCTACGCAAGTCAACCTGGAAGAGTGCAGCCCTCCCTACAAAAGGTTACACAAGGTGAGGAAGGAAGCGTAACACACGGAAACGGAGTACCAACTCATACAGTAACTTTTCTGAAGCTAGTGGAGAGCCGGGATCACAAGAAACTTGTGACCGCCGCACCACCGCATTCGTGTTGCTGGCCGCTACACACAGGAGCAAGCGGCCGGCGGATGTATGAAAAACAGACTTCGTTCGAGCTTATAATCTAGGAAAGGCGAGTGGGTCGAGAGATGGGTACATGAATATCGGTCAGCATCAAGCCAAGAAGTTACTTTTTGCCTAGGTCGTCTGAAGAGGCTAAACCGTACACTGAGATTTGATTTTTCGGCAAACTTAGGAAAAAGTCGTTAGAACATGTTATATACATTTTACAATTTGGCTGGTTACAGATCCAGCGTAGGATCTCATACACACGATCTGATATGTTATTCAGAGCTAATTTTATGTATATTCAAACTTACACGCTCAAACCGACATGGATCTTTCGGGATCTGCATTATTGCAACTATATAAAATCTACGTACTCGTCGCAGAGGAC